CCGCGGTCGCTCCCAGCCCGGCCCCCGGAGCGCTGGCTGATCCCCCGCTCCGTGCTGCGGATCCCCTTCCCCGGCTCCTCCGCGGTGCTGGGGAGCAAAGCTGCACCCCCGCCTCGCTGCCTCCGCTGGAGCAAAGGAAAGTACAGGGGGCTCCAGGGCGCTCCCCGGGSACGGAGCTTTCTCGCTGGAGCTGCGTTCCCATTGTGCCGCCCCCGCCCCGGTACCCGCGCTCCTCAGAGCCCCGCAGCGCGTTTCATCACGGCACAAGAGAGTCCCTGTTTGGTGCTGACTCCTCATTGCCAGTTGGCCAAAAGCCGCTTCCACAGGAATCCAASTGTTCGGGTCAGTTGGAATATCCTTGTTCCTGCCCAGCTAGGCTGGACGCCCTGCACACAACGTGTAAGCCTGCGAGTTAGTCTCTGCTGCTTCTGTTAGCCTTGCTAGACTCCGGTTTTGAGAAACATATTAAAACAGTCAAGACAGCTAAATTGGTGCGTTTATTATCGTTACTAGTACTACTCCTCAATTGTTGCTTGACATTTTGAAGTCGTAAAGATACCTTAACTGGAAGGGGAAAGGGAATAAAGGAAGAAAGAGAGTGAAAAGAGAAGATTTAATGATGGTGACAGCAGCCAAGCCTACAGCATCCCTTYTCCTGTCTGCAGAGAGAAAAAAAGRCAGCACGGGCAAGTCACCAAGAGTCTGCCATAAACTGGAGCAAGCTGCGGTGGGGATGTRTGGAACAGCAGAAACTTAAACACAAGGAAATGTATTTATAGGACTGGGGCCAAAACAATCTGCACTAMAAGAGTGAGACGTGCAGCATCAGTTTGAACATTCAAGTCAGTATCACCTTAAATGAACGAAGCAGCTCAAATCTCAGAGCTATTAATTCATCTGTCTCGAGCCTGAATTTATTGGGAATTTGGGCTACAGAAACCGTTGCTTCCCTATCCTAGCAGCAACCATATATATCCGTGCCTTTTGTGTGCTCAGGTGGAACGCAGCATGGATACTTAGTCAGGCCACCCTGCAAATCAGATAAAGATCAGGTCTGCCTCTGTTGCCAGCAGGTTAGACTGCAAAGGTGAGGTTTGGGAATAGCACCTGAGGGTGCTATTTCTGGCTTTTCTAATTGCTTGTATTGGGCAATCATTTCATCACTCCCTCCTACAGGTATTCCTTGACAGCATTATGCCCCACCCTCCACAGAAATCACACAGTACCCATACATTAAATATATTATCTGAGATTCACGCACTATTRTTTTGTGTTGTCTATGAATTCAGAAATATTCACTTTTGAGACCAAAGGTAAAAAGCTCAGACCTCAAGATTTTTTTAAGTCGTTGAAGCTAGCAGTGGGATTTTTCTGGGAAAYGGAAATTCTGGAGCACAGTTGGGTAGAAAGGTGCAAACCAGGTGGCAAGCTCAGTGGAATGCACCCTGGTACTGTAGGTGAGCTGGAGAAGTGGCTGAGGACACTTATTTTCTGTCAGGAAAATAGCAGGGTGGTCTCTTGCTTGAGGCCTGGCTGAAGGTTTGCTCATTTTTCATGTTAATTCCAAGATTACTGGGATCTGGTTGGTTGGSTGGTTTTCTTCCTGTGTTCTTTGCAATGAGGGCCTATAAATATCCCTTACCTGATTACTATTTTTCTCATTTTTACCTYGGACTTCCCATCTCATTTCTTGTGAGCCGTTCAGTTTTCTTTCGCAGTTTTTCAGAGTTTAAACAGATAAGGATAGAAACTGCAGAACAAATCCTGAATAACAGGTTGGCCAGTGTCAATTTGGTTGTGTAATTTTCTTTTCTGAAAGATGACTGAAACTCCCTAAGGCTCTGATATTTAACTTTAGGTTCRTTTGTCAAATTCTGAAAATGGAAATGGGAGCGTTTTCAGAGACAAGGAGCTATTGGCAGGTGTTCAGGTGATGTTACCTGCTGGCAGCTTGGTTCCACATGCTCATGGCTCTTCCAGGTGATGGGATTGACTTTTTCTGCCAAATCACAGAATCAGTCAGGTTTGGAAGGGACTCTAGTGGATGATCTGGTCCAACCCCTGTGCTTCAGCAGCATTGTCCTTGAGCACTTTGCACAGAATTGAGTCCAGACAGTTCTTGAGTGTCTCCACACTCCACATCCTCTCTGGGCAACCTGTTCCAGTGCATGGTCATCTGCACAATRAAAAAATTCTTCCTCATATTCAGGTGGAAATTCCTGTGCATCAGTTCCTGCCTCTCGCCTCTTGTCCTGTTGCTTGGCRCSTGTTGTTACATTGACGAGGTCTCTTCTYGAGGCTGAACAGGCYCAGCTCCCTCAGCCCTTCMTCCCAAAAAAGATGCTTCAGTTCCTTCATCATCRTTGCTGGAYGTGCTCCAGGAGCTCCATGTCCCAGAACTGGACAYARCACTGCAGATGTGCCTCACCAGGGCTGAGTARAAGAGCAGGATCCCCTCSCAAAKCTCCYCAGGACACCACTGACCTTCTCAGCGCCAAGGACAGCTCGATGTCCACCAGGTCCATCTCTGGAGATCCATTTTCCAGTGAAAGGAGAAGGAAGTGTCTCTACAAACAGACTGACTCTGGGYWCTGGGGTGAGATAAGGCTTAGGGCTGATACTGGGAGATGAAGGGGAGGCAATGGGAGGAATTTCCGTGGGGGTTCCACCGTTTGACYTATCTAAACTACCAGAGCAGAGACACAGARATGTAAACTGAAGGGGAAGCGGGGGGAAACCTGTAACTTTCAAGTACCTCAGCCAATGGGGAAAGAAAGAGGGACCCAYGGCCGGGAAATTGGGATAAAAGGAGGCTGYRTCCTCTATGAATTTGAGAGACCCCATGGGAAATGCCCATGACCTCTCCCTTTATTCATGAATAAAGTTGCGGGACTCCTCTGTCTCCTTTTTGGACATAAACCTCTGGTGCTTGTGGATTAATTTTCCTAACRCCAGCAASTYGGCCCCAATCCTATACCGGAGCCCGGGGTTATTCCTCCCCAGGYGCATGGCYGTGKATTTGCCCRTGTTGAAGGGTTTGGAAACTCAGAMGGTTTGAGTCGTTTCGTGACGATTTCCGCGGCAGCGCCGTTCCCTCACGCCGCCGTGGTCCTGATGCCTGATGATTTTTGCTTTTCCTTTTTATGCTTTCTGTACCCTCTATGCATCCCCTGTACCCCTTAGCCCACATGCTTGTAATTCCTGAAGCTTGATATTCCAGCTTAGTTTAGGGGTTCTGCTGGGCAGAGAGACCAAACATCCTGAGGAAGGGGTCAGTGTGCCCTGTGCTGTCTTAAACCCGAGGCTCCAGCCTTGGGTGAAGCCTCTGTCCAGAACATCTTGTGTAAACTGGGCTCTGGCCTCATCTGGGGGGGGGATTCATTAGAATAGGGGGACATCACTGCATTTGTGAAGTTTCTTATTGGGGAGTCCTAGATAGATATGCTAATTCCTGAAACCTATAAAATTTGTATCTTATTGGGGAGTCCTAGAT